GGAGAGATCATTTGGGTCTAGCGGGACCTGCTCCAAGCAAACCAAGGCCCTAAACATCCAGATTAACACTTGATGAGCCCGTTTTTTCCATCTCCATAAAGGGAGGTGGTGGCTTTGTCTCCTGAGTTTCATGGAAGTAACATGGGAAGTGAAGGTTGGATCCCTGAAGGGGCTTTTCTCCTGGAAAAAAGGATAGGAAACTGGTCAAGAAAGTCATTTTTGCTTCACACAGCATGTTTGGATCTGGGGGATTTTTTTGGGGTATCCATCAAGGGTTTTCAAACCTTTTGTTTTTGGAAGGGCACATCATGGGAATTCAGGACTCACTGGTGCTGGAGGAGCTCGTTGGGAGCTGGTGAACACCAAAGCCTTGGGGTGGGATCCTCCTCCTCTTTTCCCTTGGGGGTCTGTGTTTCACTCACCACCATCCTGGGAGGGTGAGCAAACCCCTGGATTTGGGGCTGGATTATGGGACCCCTCACTCAGGGAACCCCACAGTAGAAAGGACACGGGAACTCCTCCTCAGGGACACAGGGGTGGCTTCAAACCCCCTGAAATGGGAAGGAACCAAGGTCAGGACTCCCAAAGTGGGGTCAGGGGCTTTCAAAACCAGGTTTAGGCATGAAAGGGTGGTGGGACCATTTTTCTCCCATCCTCCCAAACCGGGGTTAAAACAGCATTTGGGTTTTTTTGGACTGGGACCAGTTCATGCAGCTCTCGGGGGCATCTGAGAAGCAGAAAGGAGCTGCAAAGAGGATTTTGGGGTGGTTTTTTAATCCCTGATGATTTTTAGGGCTCTGGAGAGAGAAAACCCCATCAAGGCAAACCAGGTGCTTGAGGTGTCTCTGTCCCTGCAGAGAGGAGCTCCAGGTGGGCTCAGGAATTGGGAATCCTGGACTGGGATCAGTTCATGCAGCTCTTGGGAGCATCTGATGACCAGAGGGGAGCCTCAAAGAGAATTTTGGGGTGTTTTTTTTTTTTAATCCCTGATGATTTTTAGGGCTCTGGAGACACAAAACCCCATCCTGGAAACCCCATCAAGGTGAACCAAGAACTTGAGGTGTCTCTGTCCCTGTAGAGAGGAGCTCCAGGTGGGCTCAGGAATTGGGAATCCTGGACTGGGACCAGTTCATGCAGCTCTTGGGGGCATCTGGTGAGCAGAGAGGAGCTGCAAAGAGGATTTTGGGGTGGTTTGGGGTCGTCTCGGGTGAATAGGGCAGAGCAGGATTTTTCCTGCATTCCCAAGCATCCACGTGCTGCTCCGTAAGGAGCGGGATTCCCACTTCCATGCTCCTTCTCCAGCCCACTGGAGGGCAGCAGCGCCCCGTCCGAGGCACCCGCAGCACCCGCAGCGATACCCAGGGGTGGGCACAGCTGGCCCCGGGGGGCTTTGGGGGACCAGAACGCCCCGAAACGTGCCACAAATAGTCATTTCCACCCGTGGATCCTGCAAAGTCTCAACGGGAGAGGTGACCAAGAAGTGAAGCCAAGCATTTCGGGGCGGCATCCTCGGGGGAGGGGGAGCACCCTGAACTTGCAGCAAACTCCACCCATCCCATAAAGGAAGGGGTGACGTCGTTCTGGAAGCACTGGGAGCACCCACCCTGTTCCTACAGGCTGGGCCCCAGCCCCCTCTGGGGCTGCAGCAGGGGCTTGGCTCCCCTGGGCTCATCCCAAAAGCTTTGCCGAGGTGCTCCCTGAGCTTTCCAGGGTCCCATCCCAAAAGCTTTGCCGAGGTGCTCTCTGAGCTTCTTGAGGCCTGATCCCAAAAGCTTTGCTGAGGTGCTCCCTGAACTTCCCAAGGTCTGATCCCAAAAGCTTTGCTGAGGTATTCCCTAAGCTTTCCAAGGTCCCATCCCAAAAGCTTTGCCGAGGTGCTCCCTGG